TTTTTTTTTCATGATGTATGTGTAATGCCTCATAAGAGTCACAGTTTACATAGCAACAGGGATAAATTATGCCCTTTATCCTTCTCTTTCTCTCTCATGTTACAGAATTTAATCATCTCTCTAATTTGTCAGTCAGCCCAGAACTCCTGTTAAAAAAGGGAAGATATGCACTTTCCAGAGTATAGGATGACAATTGTCAATAGCAGCACAATATATCACATGTATATGATACAAAAGATGCTTATGGTTTATTCATGCAGAATATTTTAATGCAAAGATATCACACACATGGCAAGAACAGAGATGAGGCTGTCTACCAGGAAATCTATATGTGTGTTCAATTGGTGCATTCATCCTTGACTTGATAAAAAAAGGCTTAGCTATTTATGAACCCTATTAGCCAACTTACAAAAATAGCAACCTAACAGCCCAATCCTATCCATATTTATTCAGAAAGAAGTCCCAAGTGAAACATAAGGTCCATCTAGTCTAACCTTCCCCAACCTGGCACCTGCCGGACATTTTGAACTACAACTCACATCATCTTTTACCATTGGCCATATTAATAGGAGTGGTGCCCTCCAGATTTTTTGATCCCCAGTTAGCAGTTCACCCCCAAATTCTATTCAGATGTATACTCCTTCTGTTGCTGGAAGTTCCATATAGGCATCATCAGTAATGACCACTGATTGCCTTTTCCTTCAAAAAGTGATCTACTCTTTTAAAAGTATCTAAGCTTGTGCACATTTCTTAGCTGCTGGGGTAAATTCCATATATTAAATTTGATTGTGTAATTAATCAGCTTCCCGTAATCTGGCACCCTCTAGATGAGTTGGATGACAAATGCCAACATTCCTCAGCCTGGGGAAGATGGGAGTTCTGATTCAGTATGGCTGGAAGACTCTAGATTGGAGAAGACTGTTGCAAGACGGACTTTTAAAATCTGTCCCTAACCTCAAATGAACACTGGATTGAAGATTGGCTTTTGCTGGGAAGTAACTCTGGGCCAAACTATGCATTATAAGGAACTCTGCTGGTACAGCCTCTGTTTGTTTCTCTAAAAATTAAACAACTCTAAAGTAATCTGGCCAAGGTGCAAATCTAAGGTGGAGGAAATCAGTGGCAAAAAGGAACTTTGCCTCCTGGTTGTTTTCAGCTTACAATTGCCCCACCCATTCCTTTTTTAAATAAATCTGGCAGGGGAAAGCAGAAAGGAAGTCAAGTGTACCAACTTGCAGTAGAAGGAACTCCACAAAGCTCCACATGGAACTTACTTGTTCAGAGCAAAATTGAATGAATCACTCATGTTGTTTGAATTGTTGCAAGAGTGGCCAGATGATAGAATTGTTGCACCTTTTGTGGTGGATACAGTTCTTCTTGCTTCTACCTTGTTTCCCTGAAAATAAGACCTAGTACTATTTTTGGTACTTGCTAAAATATAAGACCTACCCCAAAAATAAGACCTAGTTGTGTTTATTCCCAGGGCCAGTGGGGAACATAAAGAGCCCTTTTAAACTTTATTTTTTAACTTAATGCACTGTATGGAGGAAACATGCTTATGCAGTTCTGCTCCCTCCACTCCCTGTGGAGGGAGCAGAGCCGCATAAGCCGATGCTTCCTCTATAGCGCCGGCTCCTGTCACAGGTGAAGTGATACCAAATGTACCAAATGTACATGTATTCATGCTGTTGTACTTGAATAAGTGTGGATTGTTGTACACATTAAAAAATAAAATAGAAAATAAGACCTACCCCAAAAATAAGACCTAGTGTGTTTTGGTGAGCCAAAAAAAAAAAAAAGACAGTGTCTTATTTTCAGGGAAACACGGTATATCTAAACCTGTAGCTGTTCTTCATCCAGTTTGTCATTGTATTACAAAAAAAAAGGCCTCCTGTATACCCTGCATGCATACAGTGGGAGCACACCATCAGCTGAGATGAGGATGCCCACGGTGCAAATGTGCAATGAAGACAATTTTCAAAGTATTTAATACAGTATATAAAATTTTCTGTGCAGAAGACTATGGACTGTTTATCTTGTGCAATGTGAGCCCCATTGATAGTACAGGAACATAAGCCAGTTTGGCCCAAGAAAATGTCACAGTATCCTTTTGCTGTGTGCTGTATAAATGTAGATATACTCAAGAAATACTTTTCAGTATCTAACAAAGACAGCTTCTACAGGGTCTGAGCTCACTGTGCTCTCCAAGGAGCTGCTCCTTATGTGTTGATATATTTATCACGTGTACCTCCTTTCCTTCCTCCAAGGAACACAGGGTAATAATATACATAATATTTTATTTTCACCACAGCAAAGTGGGCTACATCAGGTTAAGAGAGGTGGGCCTGGGCCTAGGTGGGTGTCATGGCTGTGTAGGGACTTCATCTCTGGGTTTTGCTCGTCCTAGTCCAATAGTCTAATCTCTAAACCATGCTCATGTGTTCTCTCTCTCTCTCTCTCTCTCTCTCTCTCTCTCTCTCTCTCTCTTCAGTACTTCTTATGTTTGGAAGAAGTGGTACAATAGTTTGTGCAACCTATATGCCAGCACCTGACAGGAAGCTGAAGGCTCAAACACTCTGCTTCCCCATTCTATTTAGAAACAAGAATGAGATTTATTTTGTAACCAAGCTGATGAATTCTGACTCACTCCGGCTTTTGGAGGTTTGGAAGTCTGGCTATGACAAAGAAAGCCCATGGAAAGAAAGAAGCCATGCAAGCGATCCAAGTGTATGTTTGTGTTCTTTCTCTCTCTCTTTTCTCCACATCAGTCCAGCTATTTCAGCCTTTGGTAAAGTAACTCCTCCTCTTGACCATGCTTTTCAGTCCAAATCTAGGGCTGACCCACTGCTGTTTGCATGTCCCCACCCTAGCACAGCTTCTCTGATTCTTCCTCTTCTTTTGCTTTACTTGGGTCCTCCTAGTTCACTTTTTCTCCATCCTTAAAATTCCTTATGGTTCCTTTTTGTTGATGATGTTGGACCAATCCGCTGAGATCAGTATTTTCAGGAATTATTTACATAGTTGATTTGTACCCTGCATTGGCTGCTCAAGATGGCTTCCAATCAGAGATAAACTTGAAGAAAACAAATACATTGAAACACTTTTTAAAGACACACACAACAATTAGTGTCTTTGCCAAAGGTATGAAACAAAGACTCAGTGTGCTCCCCACTGCTCGCCCCCCATTTCCAAACTGATTTACCAGTCAACCTCTCCTATGACTTTTTTCACTGCTGCTTTCATCTTTTCTAGTTACATGGTTAAGAAAGAAAAGATGAAACAGCTGTACAATGCCTTCCCTTTGTTAGCAGTAGGAGTTTTCCGTTTGGAAGAACCGCTAGCATGCCAAATGAGCAAAGGAATGATTGTATCCATATGACTGTCTAAAAGAAGCAACCAACTGCCAGGACCTTCTGGGTGGCTTACTATCTGCTATATAGTGGTTAACAAAATGGGAAGTGGTTGGATTTCAGTCATATAGCATCTTGTTGTAAATATTTATGGATATAGAGCTAGAAGGTAGTTGAAATGTTGGAATAGAACCAAGAATATCCAAATTCAAATCCTCACTGATCCTTCTCAGTCTGAGAATAAAATGGGAATTGAATAGGGAACTAATTCCATATATGTGACCTGGAGCAGAAGATGGTCAATTTGAGGCCACACACACCCCTATCAACCCTAGAGTGACTGATGAGAGCTGTAGGCCATGGGTGTAGCTGCCCACCCATGCTTTGAAGGAAGTGCAGGACAAAACATGTTTAAGAAAAAAACATCCCACATTTCTGATATGCTTTGCCCCAGATGCAGACTGATCATCTGGTCTGGACCATTATCTGCTATGCAAGCAACAATAGTTCCAGAATGGACCTGTCTGCAGTTATGGCAGCATGTGAAATAAAAGTAGAGAAAGTGTTTTTGGCCTTGTGCAAAATGCATCAGAGGGTTTTAGTGGGTTAGCTAGACTGTGGCCTGGCCGAGGTGAAGTCATTGTTTCTGCAAGTCTGTGTGAAATACTGTGCCTATGCCTGCGGTTAACAAAAGGCCTGGGTGACATAATCTGGGACAGGGACGCATGGCTATGAGATACTGCTCTGTTTGGAGAGGCTGAAATTAGTGTGAACTGAAAAGTTGTGTCGAATTGGAGAAAACTTGCATGAGACCACAAGAAAGGGTAAGTGGTACATGCAGGAGAGGTCTGGAAAGGGGAGTGAAGGGCCTATTGGCTCCAACTGATTTGGCTTCCCAAGAAATAATAAATGAACTGAATTTGGTGGTAACTTTCTTCCATATTATGGGGCAGACTTGCCAAGCCAGTGCTAGCCAAATGTGTACAAATTCCCAGCATGCTCCAAACAGTGTATGTTGTCTGGCATATCTGGAGGGCACCATCTTGGGGAAGGCTGGTGCGGAGGGAGCGTCACCTCTTCAAATAGAGGCTGCCTGACCCAAAGAACTGAATAAACTGCGTCGTCTTTTGTGCAAGCTGGCAAGGACTCCAGTCAGTGTGGCTTGATTGAGCAAGAAGTTTGAAACAAGTCTAAAAAGCAGAAGAATGATTGCCTGTAGAGTGACGGCTGACATTTACTCATTCGCCACTTATGCTGTCGTGCCATAACAGCCAGGTGCACAGTACCTCCCTGAGATCACAAACATCCTGCCACTCCGCTTTGCAGCAACCAATTCCTATCGGCAGTGACTACAATGGGAGCGACTGAGCATGCTCCTGGCTTCGCTGCCTTCCCACAGCCGTGCCACACACCTTGAGCAGGATTGCTCCTTTCTCCTCCACGAGCATTCCCTTTGTTCGGGGTGCCGAAACGTCGCCCCACAGCACCCTAGAACCTTCCACCTTCTTCTTTAGATTTGCATGGCGCAGGTCCTCCCTCCGTCGTTGAAATCTAAGTGAGGCTTAAAAGGAGGCGGGGGGGGGGCAGAGGACTGCCATTCCTTCTACTGGGCATGCTCAGTAGCGCTTGCCCGTAAAACTTGATGAGCCGCTGGTCGCGTTGCTCAACCCGGGAGCAAAAACAACCACCGGTGTAAATCCGCAGAAGGCCTTTGCGTCCTCGCGTCGCCGGTGAGTTTTGCGGTGAGGCGCTGCAAGCAAGCGTGGAAACCTGCTGGGTAGGGGGACGTTGTGTGCTTGTGTTGTGTGGACACGCGTGCGCGCCCCGGGATCGAGGTAATGGAGGGGAAAATGTGTCGCGGCGGGGGAAAGGGACTGTGGCCTGAATGGAGGCGGCTTGCGGGGCGCCGGTGGGCGCAGAGCGTCAGAATATGTACAGCCTTCAAGAACGTGGCCTGGCAGATGGGTGGAAGGTCTAAAAAGCCCACAGCGCATTTGGGTTGCAATCCTACGTACGTCTACCTAGGAATAATCGTCACTGAATACCGTGGGATGTCCCTCTGAGCTCGCATATGAAGGAGCGCAGTTGGTTGGCAGAACAGGTGTAGAAGGAGTCATTAACTGCCATTTTGTAGTGATCGTAAGAAGGCTTAATTTGCCAGGGTCTGGCCTGGTGTTGGAAATGCTTTGCAGCCTCCCCCTCCCCCTCCCCCTCCACACACAGGGATGCAGCCTGTTGATCATGTGTTTTCAGGCCTGTGCTTGCTTTGCTTTCTCTTTCCTTGTTTCTTGAGTTAAATGTCACAGTACCTGGCCCCTACTATTTAATTGCGGTATCGCGTATAGTGCAAAGCACGCTCAAGGCCTTAAACGATATTTTCGCGTTTGAGATGAGGAAGCTGGGTGTCTGAAAGAGTATGTGGAATGGCCCTGACTCTTTCCCGTGTTTAGCTGATTGTGGAATGCAACATTGTGACCTCACCTCTGTTTATTTTCAACTGGAGAAAATCCCGTGACCCTGGTAATTACTTCCTTGCTATTGAAGAGTACTAGGAAGTGTTGCCTTACAGGTGTGCTAAGTTGAATGCAGTATGTTCATTTAAAGTGAGGGGAAACCGGATGCGGTTATGCCATTGTGTTACCTCCTATTAGTTCAGATAAATAGCTGGGAAGCTTTCCTCTCAGAAGTTGACTTGACAGAGGGGTAGGTGGTAGAAATAAGCTGCTGAGCTCTTTATATTATACTGAGCTCATCTTTTTCCTTTCAATATGGTTGATTAGTTTCTAAATAGCTGATTTTGGAACCTGAGCCTGAGAAATAACTGCTCATAGTATAATTTTGTAAGGCAGGAGCAGGCAACTTGTGACCAAGTCTTTTTTGTTGGATTGCAACTCCCATCAACCATAGCAAGCAATAACCAATGGTGAGGGCTGATGGGAGTTGCTGTCCAATAGTATCTTCAGGGCTACAAGTTGCCTACCTCACTCTAACAGCTTTGCATCACTCTGTTTTTTGTTGTTTATTGTTTTCTGTTAACTTTCTATTGTTTTTATATGCAAGTTAAAGTTTTTTGAAAACCAAGAAGTACACTCTACATATTCTTATGTGATTACAGTTTTGGGAGTACAACGTTTAATAGGCACTGCATTGCTAGACAGCTATATTCCACTTTCATTGCACTGCTTCTGTGGCCATCTTTAATGAATGAGAAGTTGGTGGCTCAGGGAATTTGGAGTAAGGAAGGAGAGATACTAATTGGGGAATCCACTCCTACCTCCAGCTAAACTCGGGGGCCAAATACATAGCTTTCTCCCAAGTTTTGTGCTTTAATAGTTAGCCACATTAATTTACCCCAGGAGTAGGGAACTTGTCTCTCTTTGGCAACTGACTGTAGAGAGAGGAACAGAAGGCCCTGTGTAGTTGAAAGAAGAGAATGATTGAGGCCTGCTACCATGTACTTGACCCTCAAACACACACATGCATTCCAAAGGAACAGGTCCGTGACAGGAAAAAGTTTCCTTTATTACTGACTGCATAGGCTCAGGCCTAAGTGAGCAGGAAGGTACTCATCTAAGCCTAGAACCTGATTAGTACAATGTGGAGGAAGGATATTTTTAGTTTCCACTCCTACGTGCTGTTGAGAACTAAGACTGTGGGTGTATGCCTCATGTGCATTCCCCAAGCCTGTTTTCACACAGAGACACACTAACAATTCCTGGGCCTTTGAAGTTGCTTTGGAGCCCTCTCTCCCATACATACAGCTGAAAGAACCAGGGGAATGATTAATTAGGAATAGGGACAGTAAGCTCAGAACCTGCAGAAGCTGTCTGTCTAGCTATTTTTAGTATATATAACACTTTTACACAACATATACACCCATAATGTACTGCAATATTTGTCTGGGTAGAAGTGGCTTATGTTTACTTTTACTGTGGTTCATATCACACAAGAAAAATTTAGTCCAGTGAGACTTCTGTACAGATAATTGTGTAAACCACATACGATGTTTTGAATAATGGTGTGACTTCTCCACTGTACATTTGCACAGTCAGCAACTTCAGCTCAGCTGGTGGTTTCTGGAGGTTAATATGAGCTGTTGAAAGCTCAGACCTCTTCCCCTTTTCTGTTCTCTTTTTATCTAATAGTTGTCAACTAGTCCCAACATCGTATGGCTCCTGAACCCCTGAGGATGTTCAGTCCTTGTCACTGAAGGGGATCTTTGAAAAAAATCTCTAATTTTCCTGCAGACCTGGAATGCTAGCCCATTCCTTCTTGTTTGTGTGTGTTTCCAGTTTTATTGCCATATTTATTCATGGATAGGCATAAGACTTCCAAATTTGTTATGAATATTGTTGTTCTTTCTAATTATTATGATAATAAATGTGATTGGGATAATTATTTCATATTTCTAATTATTATAATAAATATGATTACTTAACAGAATCATAAAGCAACATAGCCCTGTCCTAGACTTATTTATACAAAAAAATTCCACAGTGCCAGGTGTGCGTAGGAGTGTCATCTTTCTTGCTTTTTTTAAAACAATGAAAGTTAATACTAAGTTACATTCATATACCATGGGAATATACCAAGTGAAAATAAAGAAGAGAATACCATAATCCAGACCAGTTTTGGATACCAATTTGTGCTGTAATCTGGTAACAATCATTCAACCTAAAATCCTATATGCCTGGAGGCAGGCAATTTGTGGCCCTTTGGATGTTTTGGTCTACAACTTTCACCAGCTCTAGCCAGCATAGCTAATAGTAAGAGCTGATGGGGTTGCACTCAAACAACTTTAAGGCCACAAAAATTCTGCACCTTTTGGAGATCCGCTGAGCATTAGCTACACTGACTGGGATTATGAAAGTTGTAGTCCAAAAAATTTGGATGGCACCAAGTTGCCTATTGCAATGACAAATGCAAGTGATTTGTTCCTGTGTGAACCTAATGTGTAGGATTGTGCTGTTTCACAATCTATTTAGTCTCACAGACGTACTTAGATGAAAGGTTTACCTTTCAAGGTAAGCTGTATTATCATATCTTATCAGTGCTGGCAATGTGTTTAAATACCAAAGTGATTATATCAGAAGCGTTCAGACTTTGGTCCAAGGGGCCCCTAGTGAAGTACTTGGTACTGGTGGAGTCCTTGCTTATACTACTAGGACTTCCCTCACAGCTGACAGATCAACGTGAAAGACGAGGTGTGTTAGTGATGACTTAATGTGTGCCATGTCCTCTCCTACCAGGATGCTTTTACCCTGCTACAAGGTTCCACAGGTAGCTTCTTTCTTTCTCAAGGAATTGTACTTTACCTCCACATTTTTCCACATGGTCACTGTTTGATGTCCCTTTTCATTTAATCATCTAATTTTCATTGTGAATCTTAACAAAACAAAATCATAAGAGAGAGGAAAAAAGGGGGGAACTCTCCTTAGAAACTTAGATACATAACTTTTAATATATCAATTTCAGTAGATGCATATGAAATGTATCCGTATTTATAAAAAGTTGTATACAAGTTGCAACAAAGGTGGACCTGATGGCATTGAAAGCATTGCTAAGTCCTCAGTCCTTGTATTATAGGAGACAGGCGCTTGTCCTTTGAAGGTGGTAATATCCATCTCTTAGCTGTTAAAAGGGTAGGGGGAATATTTACACTGATCTGGTGATAACTTCTAAGAAGCAAGTAATAATTTAAAGGAATATGTACGTCAGTTTTTTTTTTAAATCCACTACAGAATTTGAAGAAGTTGGATTAAACATTGAAAAAGAAACATACTATTTGCCCCACTACACATACAAATCACATCATTTGTAAATGCCTACTTTTAAATGATACAACAAACAAATCAATATAATGCATTGCAGTCCAAGAATGTCAAAATTCAAATCAAAGGTTTAAGGAATCTAAACAAGCAGAAGACTGTTTTCTAAGTTTTAAAAAATGGCCAATGCCACGTTAAAAAAAAAAAAAAAAACCCAAGAACTGTTAATCTACAATCATTGTGTGTCTCTTTGGAGCAGGCATGCACCTATTCAGCAAAGTATCTAAAACCTCCTTAAAGTCCCTGTCCATGTATAAGCCATATCAACCAATTTGCTAAAATGTTCATTAAATATAATCAGAAAAAATAATAGGTCTGCACGCATTAATAAAAGCAATTATTTTACTATTATATCTCCCAGATTTAAAAATGACCACCAAGAACAGTCACTTGTTAAACTGATGTATATACAGAAATTAAGTTACATAGAGGGAAAAAGAGAGAAAACACACACAAAAAACACTGGAATGATATGAAATGACAAATGTCCAGAACTTTATCCAGTTAAACAGTATAAACATTAGTGAATTTATTTATTTATTTAAAATATGTATATACCAACTTATATTTCAATGAAATCTCAAGACGGTTTACAAAAAATAACAATAACACAAAAGCAGTATATCATATGTAAAATATATGAGAAAACCATTCAGACATTAAAATACTGAGAAAGTAAAAAGGTTTTAGCGTGGCACCAAAAAGAATAAAGAGTCTCTGCCAGGCAATCTCTGGGATTGCCAAGGGCTGTCCAACTACAGAACAAATTCAGCTGCTTAAGTAGCAAAAGCAGAGGTGGAAACAGGAGTAGAAATAGTTTCATTTTAACATCCTTGATAAGCATATTAAAAGTACACAGAGAGCAACCTAATGAACCTTAGGCAGTATCAGTTGTACTAAAGGAAGCTGCAGCTCACCGTGGTGCAAGCACCAAGAGCATGGAAGAGAATATGGGGTATGGGACAAGACAGAGTGAAGCAGAAAGGAACAGCACTGGAAAGAAGAGAACAAAATTGGCCGGTGTGCATTTCCTTGTATTTTCTTTTTTAGGCTGCAGTTCTCCAACTACTAAGAACAAGCCCTGCTGAATTTATTGGCATGCCTTTATTTATTTATTTAAACAATTTCTATGCCGCCTCATTTGCAAAAAGCCTCGGGGCGGCTTACAACATAAATTAACAATTATATAATTAGCCTTAAAAATCCGGAAACATCTCGGCATGTACATAAAAGCCCAATAAATACAATCAATAAATTAACAATTAAAATAACTTTGAAATAAAAAGGTCTTGGCCTGGTGCCGAAAAACAAATAACGAAGGCACCAGATGGACCTCTCTGGGGAGCGCGTTCCATAGGTGGGGCGCCACCACAGAGAAGGCCCTCCTCCGGTTACTCACCCTCCTAATATCTTTCACGGAGGGTTCCTGGAGAAGAGCCTCTGCTGCCGATCTCAAGGGGCAGGAGGGCATATATGGACACAAGTGCTCCTTTAGATAACCAGGTCCCAAGCCGTTGAGAGCTGTATAGGTGATAACCAACACCATGAATTGAGCCCGGACTTCAATGGAAAGCCAGTGAAGCTGACGGAGGACTGGGGTTATATGAGAACAATGCCCAGTCCCCGTCAGCAACCTGGCAGCTCTGTTTTGCACCAATTGAAGTATCCGGACCGTCTTCAAGGGTAGCCCCACGTAGGGTGCGTTACAGAAGTCTAATTGGCAAGTTACCAGTGCATGTGTCACTGTCATCAGACAATCATTCTCCGGGTAGGGACGCAGCTGATGGATCAGCCAAAGCTGAAGGAAAGCACTGCTCGCCACCACCATCACCTGAGCTTCTGTTCTAAGAAATTCATACATAATTTGGCTGTTATCTTAAAGGTCTGTAAGTGCTGGTCATAAGAATAAGCCTTTATGGAAATACTTGAAATACATTTCCTGTTTAGTTAAAAAATGAAGGCATATAAAATATATTGTGTGAGACAAAAAGATGTCAAGTCTAGTTGCAAGAATGAAACGATAAATTAATGTGTTTTAGTGGTCACATTTGCATCACAATTCAGGAAATACAAAATTGACTTTCTCGTTCTGATTTAAATCCATCCACACTGCAAACCTGGGTGACTCTTCTCCCATTTTCCTTTCTGCTGCAGAAGCGACTGCTTCGCACCTTGGTCTGACACAGGGTGGGATTGCGGAAAGAGGACGAAGATTCTCCCCTCCCAGGAAAAAAGTAGGTAAAGGGACCACTGTGGAAACAGAGCATCCTGGGAATTGTAGTCTATACGGCTAAAACTAGAAAGCCGCCGCCGCCGCCGCCGCATTCTGTATTACAACTCCCACGAAGCCAGCAAAGGGGTTTTTTCCCCTCCCATCTAACATCTCCATTAGCTGTTATGAAGGGAGGAGAATGTGAACGAGCTACAAAAAACACGTTTCGGGGAGTTGGTGGGTGACTTTGCAAACTATGTAGCAACGGTAGGAACAGCCGCCGAGCGGGCGCGTGCGCGCGAGAGGGAGTGCGGCGGGGGAATCCCGCAAGGCGACAACTCACCTCTGTCGCCTCCTCCCATCGCTTATCCAGACTACAAGGACAGGCTGAGGCCTCCATCCCGCAAGTGAGATGAAATGCCCCAGCAGTCGCCCTGCCTCTGCGCACGCGCAGTAAGGCGGACGACTCAACGGCAAGGGGCAGAAAGGGGTGACCGGTCGACCCCGGAATTTGGCAGAGGGCTTGTTTGTTTGTTTGTTTGTGTTTCCTATAGGGTATGCCTCCCGCTGGCCCTTGGGCCCCGACCTGGGCCTTGCCATTCGTTTCGCCCTTGCGCATGGCCTAGTGATTCCTCTCTCTCTCCCCGCCCCTTTTTTGCTCTGCAGGCGAAGCGGCCTGATCTGACGGAGACGGAGGCGGTGGCGACAGCTGCCTGGAAAGAGCGCCGACGCAGGTGAGGGATGCTGAGAAGCGGCACCACACAGGAGCACCTGAGGCCTCTTCGGCCACTTCCTGCGGCAGGGGTGTGAGGATGGGTGGCGGGGGGTGGATTTGTAAGAAGAATGGGGCAAGGTGTCTCTGGGTTGTGGAGCACCACCTGTGTGCAGCGGGCACTGGAGCTACAGAGGTGACAGGGAGGTGGAAGGGGATGGTAATAATACTAAGGAGAGGACATAAGATGATAATACTGACTCGTTGCAGTTATAAGAAGGCCTAACATGCCAAGCTACATATGGCCAGTGTTGGTGGTGCCCTGGCTGGTTCATCTTAATAAAAACAACATACCAAACTCTTGTAGCAATTTTGATAGGCTAGCCATGTTAGTCTAGTGGAGCCATGTCTGCCCTAGGAATCATGACTTCATGTCTACTTTTACATCTAGGGAAGGCTCTGTAGCCCAAATAATTGTTCTGTTCCTATTGGAGAGTGCAGTAGATTTAGTTTTTCTACATATTTATCTTTTTATTGTGCACACTGATAATTTTAGTTTCTGGGAGAAAAGTGGATGAATTTTGATGACTATGGTATTTTTAAAATTTTGTTAAGTGGGAAGCTTTCCAGTCAGTAATTGTTCAGTTAAGTAGAACTGGGAAGAATATCTTATGTGCCTAAAAATGGACAGTTGAGTACTTTTTTATCTCTCTTTAGGACTGTTCTCTAAATAATTGATTATGGAACTTGAGAATGAGAGTAGGGTTTAAACTATTTAATTTAGTGAGGCACTGGGTCATGGCTCAGTTGTGTCCTACTTGCATTTCATGACGGTTTAAATAGCTGGAGTAAGAAAAACTCCAGCTATTTAAAAACTTGTTTTCAGACCTGTCCAGTGCAAAGTACTATGATTTAATGCTTGCTGTGGATAAGTGTTCTGTCTGCATCAAGCCTTACTTGGTAGCAAGTTGCACTGAAATCAGTTACCTTCTTGATAGACAGACTAGACATATCAGTGCCTTGTCCAAACAGCCTTTATATTCTTACATGCGTAATTTAAATGTGTTAAACATCCCAGGAATTACTGCTGTCATGTGCTAACATGATCCACATTTATCATTCAGCTTATATATATTAAGTAAACTGCATCTGCTGAAGTGGTTACTGAATTTATCATTGCAAAATTACAGACTGTACTCAGAAGGTACAAACAACATATTTTTCACTAAGAAATCATAGGTCTGGTTATAATGGTTGTAGAATAACCAGATCAGAACACTTTCAGTTGGATATCTAAATGCTTTTATGGCCTAAAGGCTGCTTCTAACTTTCCTGCCAGCAGACATGGGGAAATCTCTTTCAAAACCTTTGTATGCATCTAAAGAAGATGGAATTTCATCATCTGACAGCATGAGGAATGGATTAATTCATTCAGAATCTCACAATGAAGATGGAAGAAATGGTGATGTGTCACAGTTTCCTTATGTGGAATTTACAGGAAGAGATAGTGTCACATGTCCCACTTGCCAGGGAACAGGGAGAATCCCACGTGGTACGTTCAAATGCATGAATAATACCTATACTTCCCTATTTGTTCCCTGCCTTATTTTTTAATTCTCCCTTGGTCATTAGACCAGCTTTCCTCAACCTGGTACCCTTCAGATGTTTTAGACTACAGCTTCCATCATCTGCTACCATTGGCAATAATTACTGTAGCTAATAGAAGTTATAGTCCAAGACTTTTGGAGGCCACTGTGTTGGGGAAGACTACATTGGACTAATGTTTGTCTCTTATAGAAAGTTTGTGGTAAAATTTATTGATATCCCTTTCCTTTGTTTTTTATGCTGTCCTATTTGTGATTCTGTGAATATTAGTGAAAGACTTCATTTATTGAATTTGTGTTCTTTATATTTTTCTTATGCTGTATTCTTATGCTGTATTAACCATGTGTGTGTGTGTGATTTGATAATACTAATTTGAATAATCCAGAAGATTTCATTACAATATTATTATATCCAGCTTGAGTGACCCCAAAACTTATTAAGCATGTAGTTCAATGCATGTTTAGACAGAAAAAGTCCTACTCCCAGCACCCCCCCCCAGTTTTTTTCTGTCTAAACATGCATAGAATTGTACCCTAAACTTCTAATCAAAGGAATGCATTGATAGGAGTGAAATACTGTGTAGGAAGGAAAAGGCTAGCAAATTAAATTTGCTTTGCTCAAAGGCTTATTGAGAGTGATTGAAGGTTTTTGAAAACCTATATCCCATTTCTTTAGCTCACCAATGGAAATTGAAGGGTTACTTGGGCTTTTTCAACAGACAATAGCTAAACTGTAGCTTCAACAGCCATAGCATTAGTGTTACTTTCAAAAGTTGCCTATGTAGCCTTTTATCATTTTCAAACTACTTATTTCTTTATCTTTTTAAAATCAGTCTTTAATGGACCTACAGAGTTATGCTTTTACAAATACTTCTGAAAAAGTGATAGAAGAAGAAAAGGGAAAGGGTATGTTCTCCTGCTGAACAACCAACCCCAACGTTCCAATTTGATTTAAAGGCTGTAACCTCATAGTGTTGAGGGGGAAGGAGTGACATCAAGGTCCTAAAAACTAAAGTTGGTTTGACCTGGGCAGCAAGCATCAGCCTATTAGAATCCATGAAGCTGAGCTTGGTTTATTAGCCTTTGATGCCTAAAAGCTCAGTTAACTTAATTCCATGAATCCCAGGCCTTGATTAACCTTTTGTAATACAGATGAACATGCTTGAATCAGAACTGGGAGCTTGAACAGAATTTACAGTGTATAGTTGCTGCCACCAAAGAGGTATTTAGCCACTATAGGGAAGAGTCTGTAACTGTGGTGTAGGCAGTGGGTAAACTGATGCTATGCCTTGAAATTGTCCAAACTCCTTCCAGTTGGCTATCTAAAGTGGAAGGATAATTAATCAGTTGAGTTTAGCTGTGCCACCTTATGAGTTTTTGTTTGTCTGCTGCCTGTGGGGATAATCTGTTTGCTAACTGCCTACACTGCAGGGAGTTGGATAATCCCCTACCTTTCATTCCTTTCACAGCCACTACTGCTATTTCTGCATAACCCAGAAGCATCAATTTTTGTAATCACAATTGCTAACAAAGTGGAAATCTTCACTATACCCAGCAGTGATGTCTTTCTTAGCAATTTTTGTATGCTTTTTAATGGCTTGATGAGGAGACTTTAAGCAAGTGTTGCTTCTCTTGTCATGGAGCTGCAGTCAAGAAAAGTGGCAATGGTTGAATTTCTTGTAATGCAGCAGTTTAAGGTTAAGAAAGAAAGCAGAAAGGTTAGGGAGAAGAGAGATTAGTTTAACAATCCTAATTGTGCCTGTGACTGACTAACTTGTGGATGGATAAGGTAAAGGTTAGGGAGAAGAGAGATTAGTTTAACAACCCTAATTGTGCCTGTGACTGACTAACTTGTGGATGGATAAGGTAAAGGTAAGCCTTCTAGCGTATGTGCCTTGTATCGGTACCATTGCAGAGCCTTCCCCCTTTTAAGTATTATTTGAAATTTCATTTTGCTAAAGTGCTTATTGGCTGTTCTCCAACTGAAGCTTTCAATAGTGGTTCACAAAATAAAGTAATGAAATAGTGCACAATAAAAGCATACCAGTGTAGAATAAAATACTGGCATAAACACAGACAGACTAAAACAAAAACCCTGAAGAAATTAAAGGATTTAACCTGGTGCTGAAAAGAGAAAGGTTGGTGCTAAATGTCACAACTGAAAAAGCAGTGCAGGGTGAAGTGACGTGTTAAGAATCTGTTTCTGCCCAAACAATTTCTTAGCTGCCAAGTCAGAGAAGTTGTTCCTTGACAGTTTTATTGGCATGCTGCTAGAAGAAATTCTGCGGAGAGTTGTAATATTGTTGAAATTTCAGTTTTATCAGCTTATTTTACTGGATGTTGAGGTTGCATATTTTACTGGCTTTTTAACAGCATTGCACAGATATAGAAATCTCAAGATACCATTACTGTCTTATTCTAGGACAGGAAAATCAGCTTGTTGCCCTAATTCCATACAGTGATCAGAGACTGAGGCCAAGAAGAACGTAAGTGATAGTCACAGTATGTTTTCAGTGAATTCTTGTTAAGTCAGAGTTTGTCTAATATTGAAAAGTGTAATTCTGATGTAATAGTTTGAAGTTTCCTCTGTGGCCCTTGGAATTATCCATTCAACTCTTTGACACAGTATGATTTGTTGAAATAACTCCCCATGATAGAAGAAGAGCAGCATTGCTAGGTATAATATAGTGGCACATGGCGCAAAGTAGTGTCGTGTTTTATTAAATGGGGAGGAGGGTATTGTGGCTGAAGTTGCTCCAGTGTTTTCAGGGATCTGGTAGAAATACACTGACGTAGCATGGCATTCAGGGCATGCCTATTCATCCCATCCAGTCTTTCTTGTTCATGCCCATCTGTTTTTTGTTGCTGTGGTATCTAAGTTGCTTTGCCCAACTATGAGAACCTAAGGGTGGATTAGGTAATCTTGACATTTCTGCCCTGATGGAAAGAGAGCAGCCTCATATTGATAATTGCTGTTGTGCCCACTTTTTTGTTCATAATCTTGGAAATCTAGCCACCTGAAGATTTTATTGCTTGCACTCCCATAGGAATTAGGCACCATGGAACCATATGGGAATGTTTTTCAAATGGCAACTTGCCTTAGAGTAGATGAATTCTGAAGGAAGTAGTTGATTGGATGGAGATTTCCAAGAAGCCTTTACATTCTAACATTTTGAGCTAAAACTCCATGCAGTGCAAATAATGGTGGTTATGAATTTTTAAAAGTAATATATAGTGATAACCTCTCTCTTCTCTTCTGCAGAAAGCTGTATGTGACTGCTTCTGTAATTGTATGTTTACTACTTTCTGGACTGGCAGTCTTTTTCTTATTTCCTCGATCTATTGATGTGGAATACATTGGAGTCAAGTCTGTATATGTCAGTTATGAAGAACAGAGGCGTGTAATATATTTAAATATTACGGTACAATCATGATTAAATTTGCTTCCACTTTGATATTTGGCACTCTATATGAATATTTAAGATTGTGCTGGCTTACTTTAATCTAGAATTCTAAATTATCTCTTCTGCAGAATACATTGAACATAACAAACAACAATTATTATTCTGTTGAAGTTGAAAACATTACAGCCCAGGTACAATTTGCAAAGACTGTCATTGGGAAAGCACGGCTAAGCAACAATACCCACATTGGCCCGCTGGATATGAAACAGGTAATGTAGTGTCTCTGATGGATGAGATGTGGTTGTCTTTTGCAGTGTTTCAAATTCTTATCTACAATTTTACTGTGTTTTTTCTTTACAGATTGATTATATGGTACCCACAATTATACAAGATGAAATGAGTTACATGTTGTAAGTGTTTCAATCTCTGGGTTTCACTTCATGGGGCAAAATATTGTAGTTTTATCCACTTTCAAACATGAGGGCTCCAGGAACAGAGCCTGGACACACTCTTTCAGGCTTGTATAGGCACCTTTATTCTTGCCTATCATCATGAAAAATTCCACATCTGTATTATGTAGTGTTAGAAGGCTCCTGTTTGAAGTTGGCTGTCAGCCTTGTTGCTACAAAGGGCACAGTAGCAATGAGTATAGCATGGGAAAATCTTCAGCAGCCTTACCCAACCTCTAGTGCTAACCAATGTTTTAGATTTCATCTCCTGTTAGTTTAGACCACATGAGCAATGATTAGGAATCTTGGGATTTATAATCCAAGACTGCTTTATGCCATGCATCCTTCTCACCCTTATGTTCACCTTCAGGATTCTGTATGCTGTTATGGGTTCAAGGCTGGCAGTTATTTAAGGCTGACTGGGCATGCTGGGAGTTTTTCTGCAGAAGTGTGCAACCCTATGCAAGTTTAGTGTATGGACAGATATATACTTCATGATACATATATATCTTCACACATATGCATGCATACACTGTATATGTTATATATGTAATATGTGTGTCTGCATTATATGTATGTTACAGTATATATATGGAAATATATTTAATATAAAATATGCATTCATAATCTATATTTTAGCACTATGTGCAAGCCAGCCACAAAGCTAAATGACTTATAGTTCTTTTAGATCTGCTTTTCCTTTTTAATTCCCTCCCATGGAGAAGGTGTGAGAGTTGCTCAGAGAATAAAATGCTAAATCTAGAATTTTAGTATAGCTGTGATTGCTTTTCCATGGAACTGCTTTCCTTTTCATCTGTGGTGATTGCAACCTAAGTTTCCCTTCACTTTGTTTTAAGGAGAGGGAAGCCATTGTGGGGAGGCATTTGGGCTTAAACTATACCCCATTTCTGCTATCCAGTGTTTGTTAGAAATCTCATTTTTTCCAAGCCCATTTAAAATTGAGTCAAGAGGAGTTCACCCATTGCTAGATAGAAATAAAAACTGGACATAATATATTTAAGTTTGCTATCTTTAATCATATTGTGTATGCTAATACTGTTTTTTTCTTACAGTGATTTTTGTACCTTATCCTATATCAAAGTGCATAATATAGTGGTTATGATGCAGTAAGTATGTATTGTATTTTCATTTATACAGAACGGTGATTTTGTAAAGACCACTTTATTGTGGAAGTTTTTTTCCACTTTCAGCTTCAGTATATCATTTTATTAATATCCTTGTCCTATCTTCTTTACACAGTTTTATTGACATTAACTTTATTGGTGTTTAGGGTCTGAATGTGGGAAAAGGAATAAAAGGACATGCATATCAGCAAGCATTTGCATAATTTCATGGTTGTTACGTGCTGTAATTTAAAAATTGCATTAAACAACTGTAACCTTGTACAATTGTGTGAGAAAATGTATCCGACCTATTAGGTAGTGCCAGTGTTAGAATATATGTAACAAAAATTTTCGCAAAATACAGCTATGTTATTTGGAGACAGTATTTATTTATTTATAGCTTTTGTATGCCATCCTATTATGCAAGATCTCAGGACTGCTTACAATATTTAAAAGGACAATTAAAACAACAATTTCAATAATAAAACAGAACAAAACAATAAACCAAACAGAGCGAGTACATTCCAGAGTCTGGGCGCCACAGCAGAGAAGGCCCTACTCCGAGTTGATGACCATTTTACCTCTCTTAGGGTTCCTGGAGTAGGGCTTCTCCCATAGACCTTAAGGGGCGTGAGGGCATATAAAGAAGGAGACGTTCCTTCAGGTATCCTGGTCCCAAGCCGTTTAGTGCTTTATACATCAAAACTAGCACCTTGAATTGGGCCCGGGCTGCAACTGGAAGCCAGTGGAGCTGGTAGAGGACCAGTGTTATATGAGAGTAACGGCCAGTCCCCATCAGCAGTCTGGCAGCTCCATTCTGCACCAGTTGCAGTATCCAGACTGTTTTCAAGGGCAGTTTCACGTAGAGCGCGTTGCAGTAATCCAAGCGGGAAGTTACCAGAGCATGTATCAAGGGCAGCATGTATATATCCTTTTTCTTTAGAGAAAAAAGTGGCAGTTTAGTATCAGGAAAAATATGCTTGCGACTTATTTTCGCTAAGGGGTCTTTGTGTTAGGTTTACTGTCTTTTCTTGAGGACTGAGCTCATTCAGAACAAGTTCTGCCAGTTTGAAGCAAAGTAGACTGTACATGGCATCAGTTTACTGGATGCTTTTAACTTTGAGAATCACTCCTTCCCACCACCATCCCTTTAAAGTGTAGTTTTCTGCTTAAAAGCTGTTGGAATTTTAAAAATGTATGCAGGTGTAGAGTGATGCACATTGGCACAGTGATGCAAAAAAATCTCAGGTTCACGTTTATGCTAATGGAATCAAAACCCGCCATGCTTAGATTTTGGAGCTGTGATAGGCAGTTTGGTTGGGCATATAAGGAAATGGAAATGAAACTGTCAGTAACCTACTGTCTTTATGCAAATCTGTTATGTGATTACATTTGAAATGCTGTGAACAATGTTGATCAGTCCCCCACAGTGGGCTGCAGTGATGGTGCAAACCAGACCTGTATTGTATGAGCATCATGTCTGATGCTCAGTTTTTATCAGCTGCTAATTCTTTTATATCTTTGTGAATCTAAACTGTACATTTTTAAATTAACATTATTAACTCTACTTAATGTCAAAAGTGTAAAAGTTTTTTTCTTAATGTTTTTCTTCTAAATACTTTCCCTTTTCTCTCCTCCCCTCTCTCCTTGCTACTTTTCCTTAAAGAGTGACTGTGACCACCTCTTATTTTGGCCATTCTGAACAAATATCACAGGAGCGATACCAGTATGTAGACTGTGGCGGAAACACAACTTACCAGCTGGGACAGTCAGAGTATCTAAATGTACTTCAGCCTCCTCAGTAAAAGAAGCAAAGCTATACCTGTCTGAGGAAAGAAAAAAGACTGTTGGTTCTTTTACTGTTCTTCCCAGTTGAACTTTTGAATATCTATTACTATTTAGAGGTGGATGTATATAACTTAGCACTCCTGAAGGCATCTGTATTTTGAGGCATGAGCAGAAAAAGGGCAAACGGTACCTATTCTCACTTGATAACTTCTTCCTTTTCACTCTAAATGTGTACGTATTCTGTCAAATTCTTACATTGGGGAGTGGGGGAGATGAATCTTAAATCAATGAACTTGTATTTTCCTACGTGGAAACTTGGGTACGTGACTTATAAAAGTCAGTGTGCAACCATAATTGTATACATGACATTTGCTACTAACAAGTATGTATTAATGAGTAAGCTGACAACAATATTTGTATGTATTAGTGACAACTTGGTACTTTTAGTTCCATTGACTTTGTTTAAATGAAGGATGAAACATCAGTTGTACCAAAAGTTCAGCCACGTTGTTGCAATAGACGGTACATGTTTTCAACTGACATATGGTTTTCAATGCATTTTCACCGTGTTGGAGAGTTTGTTCTTTTAAAAATTCGTTACATATAAAATGCTTGTTGCTGCCTTTCCACAAAGCACATACATTTTCTTGAAAAAGTTGGGTAGATGGATAATATGAATACAATTTGATTGATGCATACCTGTAGATTGATGGGCACCAAATGTGGATTGAAACATAATACATAAAAAGAAACTGGTTTTTAAAAGACAAAACAATACATGTGATTTAAAGTTCCACTTTATAGAGAACTAAGGAATGCCTTTTCTTCATTTTCTATCTTCTGTGGACCAGTATGAAGTGATTGGCTGCTTCACTCAGAACTCTTGAGTGTGCTCTCTATTTCAGCTTTAAATTCACTTCATTGTAATATGGATATTTTCTACATGTAGACTTTTGAGAATTTGAAGCAAGAGTAAAGTACGCCTATCATAACAGAACATCTTATTAAAATCAACCATATTTTCTTTTTACAAGATTTGAGAGTTCTTTGACAGTTTGAGAGTAGATCAGAGTGGGCATCCTCCAGTAGTTGAGGGGCTATATTTCCTTTTCCAGAGCCCACAGGGCTGCATCCCAGCACTGCATAAATTACTGCTGCTGTTGTCGAAACTGCTATGGTAGGAGTGAAAATGCAGTGATTTTGCAAGGAGACAAGGCATACAGTGAGCAGAACTGGGCTCTTGCTTCCCAATAAGATGTACATTCCCTACCTGCCTCCCTGCAAAAAGGAAAGAATTTACTGGCACTGTGGCAATTCTGGCAGGGTGGCAGGGTCCTGCAGTAACTGCTGTGGAAGGGCTGAATGCAGCCTGTTTGCTATCCACCTCTGCCTACATATCAGAATCAACATTTTCTCTTGACATGTGTGCCTTCTCTTCAGAAGCTGCTGAATAATGAGGGTGCTGCTGCTATTGTTTAGCTTGACAACTTCTTGCTTTGTTGTTCTGGTCACTCTGGAAGGAAAGCAATCACAACAGCAAGCTGGCCCACATGGTTACTACACCAGCAATGTTGACATGGTAAGTAACATCTTTGGTCACCTGTCTGTGATTGCTTCCTTTCTAAGAAGTGATATGGGAAGGAGCTGCAGTATAGCAGCTTCCATGCCACTGTAATCAAGTATGGATAGATCCCGTTGGATGGAGCTTGGATGGTAAAAAGTATATTCTGTTGTTATTTGATACCCCATATAGTTAACATGTTGAATTTGTATTTCCATTTGGTTTGATTCTGATTTGCCAACTAAGAAATACTGAAGTATCTTCTGTGTCATAGTAATAGACCCTTTCCTAAAAGAATGTAAAGTGGTCATTAAAAATTTGAAAGCATTAACAATCTGAAAACACTAAATTTAATCTATCCAAGGTCAACATTTCATGTCCCACTGGTTTTTGTGGGAGACATTTAAGCATGTTTCCATAGTGATCAGGGGGCATGAAAATATCTCATTTGGGATCGATCCTGCTCATTTTTACCTGCATGGTGTATGTTCTTCATTTACAATGTAAATAGTGCTTAAGACTGCAGAAATTGGAGCAGCCAAACTTGTACATTCTTACTGATGCATTTCTATTTAACAATAATGCTGATTATGTAGAAACAACAATTGCTAGGAGCTTTGTTGTCGGAAAGAAACCTAAATAGATTTAAAGCTGATTGTTGGGATTTCTGCAGTACAGTGGTATATATTGTTACTAACTGGCATATTGCCTATGTATTGATGTGTCAGTAGTTTGCTGAATAACATTTTTGGAATCCATTTAGCAAATTGTACTGGGGAAATCTCAGAGTGACAATTTTTAGTATTTTCTGCTCTGAACAGAGTATCTATGAATAGCCTTACTGAAATGAGACCACTCTTGGATTAGTATGAAAGAAATGGGCTATAATTTGACATCCTGAGTGAGGCCTTAAAAACCAAGTTTTTATGTTATTCACAAGTAGAAGCTGGCACATATAGCTTTTCTATATCATCTACATATTATTAGGTTAACTTTTATATTTTTTGTTGAACCATTTAGGGCATTCTTGATTAAAATAATTTTAAAGTTCATAAATGAAATGTTAAGGGTTTGACAGTACAAAAACTGTAGGAAGCCATTTTTATGACACTGTTTATAGCAATATAGAAGAAATTAACTCTGTTGACAAAATGAGTCCCTGGAATAAAGCTAATGGGCTAGAGTCCTTAAAGGTATATGTATAAACCCACAGTAATGCATTTGAAAATACCTGGTTCATTTTGAATTCATTATGAATTTTCCACACAATTACCTGAAAATAGCAAATTGCAATTTAATATATATTCTTTTGTCAGTACTATGAAAAATTAAGTAGAATTTGTTGACTGATGCACTTGTTTTCTAACATATCTAAGGATAAATATTTGTTCACCAAAATCTTTATTTTTATGTTGAGCAGCTACTGTTATGCTATTGAGAAGAATTTCCATTATCAACATTATTCCTGTTCCCCTCCCTTCCTCTCCCTCTCTCTCTCAGCAGTAGTTTTGCACTTTAAATGAAAGTTTGTTGGATAAAATACGGCAATTTGCACTGTACTGCAGTGACACTTAAAGAGTTACTGGGGGGTGGAAAATGAATTGCCTAAGTAGCTATAAGTTATGTGCCAAGGTAATACCTTCTAACTTGGAAATAATCCAACTTAGTTTTGAATTCAGTTGTGGTGTGATCAAAATATAATCATTTTTACATCTGTTAAGTCCTTACATGCATCAGTATCCAGTCACTTATTATAAATTATCTTTTTCCTTTTAATAATTTTGAAAGTTTTGATGCATTTTGTGTGGAAATACACATTGTAGAACTGAAAGTGGTAAGAGTCATGGGGAGATCCTGCTTTGTTTAAACCAAGTACAATTCAAGTAAACCTTAGGAAACTGTATTTGAATGTAATGGAAAACTGCTGTTCATTCAAATCCAAAAGTAGAAGATTTTGGTCTTCTCATATATAGGGATTGTGGAGTCTGAAGCAACTACAGCTTATTTTCATAAGGCCAAGCCATCATTTAGCTTTGAACCTGAACCAGGACCGTGTTGGGCTCTATTGCCATTAATTTTTGGATGAAGTGGGGTTAGTGAGTAACTGCAACACTGTATTTACAGTAAAACAGCAAATACGTTTATGAAAATGCTTATAAAATTATTTAGCTTTTATGCAGAAAAGAATCCCTTAGCATTTTTCATTGCCATCTGACTTGTGTCTTGAATGCTCATTTCTGGGAATTGTGGTCTCTAGACAAGTATCAAACAATGTTGCCACAAATAGAAAAAAGCCCTGAGTGTGGGATTCAGTTGCACTTAAAGAAAGCCAGTGGTGGCATATAGGCTGCCAACATTAATTTGAAAGTAAATGTGCAGTAAGCAAGGCTTGAATACTTGGCATATGTTAGTATTCTTGAGCTCTGTGCTTGTCATTTTATCCCAGTGTAGGGTGGATCGTGGCATAGCAAAAACTACTGCCAAATTCTTAGCTGGCAAAGGTAGGGCAGGCCCTACAGTTTTATTGTATTATACAGATTTCTGCATAAAAACAAAGTAACTTAGGATATAGTCCTGTGCATGTTTAGGCAGAAAAAAGTCTTATCTCCCAGCATTCTGCAGCTAGTATGGCTGGAAGATATGGAAGATACTCTTTTTTGCTAAACATGTGTAGGTCTGCACCCTCAATGACCTACTTACTGTTCTGTTTTTTAATCTGTTAACCAGTAGTAGTGCTAATTGTATAAAATGCATATAATTTATGTATAGAAATGCTAAAAAGTGAGAACTATTTTTGTAATTTCAGAATTGTAATTGTTGCTGTAATTGTGTGTGGCAAACTACGCAGTGTTTTGAAGCATGATAAATAAAACTTCGTTATGCTATTGTCTATTTTGGATTCCTGTTTAGGAATCTTGTAATGGCTGAAGTTTTCTCCCTCTTTAGTAATTCCTGTCTTTTTTCTAGCAAAAGATTCAGAGGGGAAATATGTTACATTGAGGACTAAGGGCACTGTCATATCTGTTGAGTCCTCAGGCCTTGTACAGAGGCTTATGAGAATCCTGGGCAGAATGGTAGGTGCAATAGAGGCAATCTTCAGTTCCCTGAATATCCCACTCTGCATTTCTCTAGCTGGGGCACTTGAGATAGAGAAATGGAGTCTGGAAGGATACAGGATGGCTCTTACCCTTGTTTCTGCAGTCACTTCCTCCTTGTGCTCCCGAGGGTACACCTGTGACCTCCTTTCCAAGGCTGAATTTCTAATCTTGGAGAAGCAGCCAGCACAGTTCTTTCTATACCAGCTGTGGAGGGGAGGGGGATCAGAGTGTGGATTCCCATCTCCGAGGTTGGTGCCCTGTTTCTGACCTCAGAGCTGGGAATCTGGTATATTGTATGGCCCTCCAGCCAATGGCTAAGGGCCATAGGATCACTCTCTGATTGAATTGCATGAGAAGAGTACTGTTGAATCACATGAGAAGCATGTAGTTAACTGGGACTCTCATTATTCTGCTGTTGCTATAGTTTAACAAGAATTATGGAGCTTTGTTTGTTTGTTGCATTTCTAACCCACCCTATCAGCCATACAGCTCCTTAGATGGGTTGCAGCAACAAAATACAAAATAGAATAAAATACAGATTAAAATACAATATAAAACAACAATTGCAAATAAAAAAACTTTTAAACCAATATAGGATGCACCACAGTAATGACATACCCAGTTAAAATGCTACTTAAAACAAGTTGACAATTAAAATCTTGTCAAAATAAAAATGGTTTTCACCTGGCGCCTAAAAGAAGGTGCCAGGCAGACTTCTCTGGGGAACTCATTCCAGAGTCAGGGTACCACTGCAGAAAAGCCCTTCTTCATGTTACCACCCTCATTATTTCCTGAGGCCTTATTTCCTGAGGCTCCTTCAGAATGGCCTCAGATGCAGATTTAAGGTGCTAGGTAGATTCATATGGGAAGAGGCACTCCTTTAGATACCCTAGATGTAACTTTCCTAACTTAAAAATAACAAAAAAAGAGTATGTTAATACACAATGAGAAATGCTTTTACCTGGGTTTAATAGAAATTAAATTTTAGATTTAACCAAGCTTTAGTTTAGCCATTCAGCCAAAGCAAGTTATTCATGGATTCCTTGGATGCAAATGTTACATTCCCCCAGCATTATTTTTATAGTTATTCTTACATAATGGTAAGAATATGCTCCCCATTACAAGCACAGTAATATGCATTGTTGATTTCTCTCAACAGATGGTGCCATATACTTTGCATTCATATCACTGATATACATTTTATACAGTAAGCCTACAGGCAGGACTGTTCTACATTTTTACTTAGGTGCTATAGATATTATGTATTAATTTTTGTGCAATAAGGAGAAGGAAGGAGAGCGGTGTGGAAAATAATATATACTTGCTCATGTTTGTCAATTAAAAACAAGGCATTCCTTGAAACAAAAGAATGTATAATTTATAACGGAAGGTTTTTCCATATGGTGTATACATGCAAGTTTTTAATATATGCATTGCTTACCCAATTCAGTATAATAGCTTCTTGGAATGATGTGACAACTTTATTTTTTGAAAATATAGTGCTAACTGTATAAGAAAATACTTACTACACTATGATATAATCTTCTCAAATATGAATTCTGACCCTAATCATGTACTCAAAATGTATTTTATCTTACAAAAGGTAATGTATGTAGTAATCAGTGTTTCTAAGTGATTGCTTCAAAAGTTATTCTAAAAGTCATTTACTAATACATGCATACATACTTTTTGGATATTGAACTTAAACTTAACAGTTTAACCTGCTAGTGTAAGAGAGATTGGTATATTAAATGGCACAGGAATAAAAATGGAGTAGCATGGAAACAGCTTTCAGGGATAGGTTCAGATATAGGGTGCTATCATAGAACTCCATTTGCTCCTACCTCATGGCACTTTCAGAAAAGTTTAGGGAGTAGACTCCTAAACTTGTATTCTTAAACCTGTGTGGGAGCTGTAGAATTTTTAACCTTTTCAACCATCATAGCCTTAGATACTCTTGAATGTTTGTCTTGATAACGTCTTTATATATGAACTCCAGTTCACATATAAGCTGTATGTTATGCTTTATCCTACAAAGTTAGACTCAAGTGCAGAAGTTTGTCCAACAGAAGATACTTTTCTGAAGAACAGCTAGGAAACTGCAGCTGAGACTGCGAAAAAAAAGTCAAATGCACCTACTGTGCAGATGTTTAGTGCAGTCTCAGTATAACTGTGAATGTGTCAAGTTTTATAGCATTTTTACGCTGATCAGCTGTAGAGGTTCCTCAGGTGGCTTATAAAGATCAATAACAGGACAGTTCTGTTAGGCATAAAATCTAAATTGCAGGGTAGGAGGGCGATAAGAAGCAAATGCTGACATTAGATATTGCAATGGCAAATTCCTTATGACAGGACTGAAAAAAGTTCAAGAAAACGGGTTGGTCTCTCAGCCAAGTTGATAGAGAGGTCGTGCTCCCAGTCTTTCCCTTTGCTCCAGTTTGATCATTGATGGATAACAGCTTTTCTTTTTTTAAAAAAACGAAGTTTGTATGCCTGCCTTTTAATCAATGTGCTTGAGGCAGCTAATGCTATATTTGATAGATGCTACTGAAAACCAAATCATAAGATTTTGGAAGTGTCCCTTTCACAGTAGCCAAAGAATCCAAATCTGCCCAAATCTCTATCCTGTTGGCTGCCCTCCATACCATAATCTTATATTACAAAGTGGCTGCATAGAAGAAACAAACTATTGTGAGAGGAATGTAAGTGCCTATTAGTGGTGAAGCTATCAACTCTGGGAGGGGCTATAGCCCAGTGGTGGAGCTTGTGCTTTGCATGCTACAGGTCCTAATCTTGGGTAGTACGTGATAAGAAAAACCATGACATCAGCCCTTAGCCACTGAGCTATATGGACCAGTCATCTTGACTGGCAGCTTATTTTTCCATGATAAAAGCATGCACCCCCCTCCAACTGGGTTTACATGACAAGGTGGAGTATGGGTTGAAACATGGGTTGTGATGTACAAACCCACCCACAGTAATTATGACTTAACTGCAAACAACTCATGGAGAGAATGGATAGGTGATTGAGTTGGAAACTGGCTTGTTTATGGTTCTAAACCATGGTTTGTTAGTGTGGCTGGTTCACACATACAATACATGATTCGCTAACAGCCTATACTCAGCTCAAAGTTGAGTGTGGGTTGTATTGTGTGTGCTCAGCTACTTCCTACTTGAACTCATTAAATGAAATCCAGAAGACATGTTGATTTTAGAAACGCTATGTATTCTAAAATACTTCCATGTGATGGTATGCTAACACAGATGTAGGCGAGTGCTTTCCTAAGCACCTAAGGACAAGCAAAAAAACCTCACATCTAAATTATAGTATATGCAGAAAAGGAGCTTGTAATCACATTCACATTAAATATACCTAGTTTATCCAATGTTTGGAGAAGATGTTCACTAAAATACCCATTGGACTGGAACTCATCAAAACAAAAAAACAAGGCACTCTTCATTTGCACTAACTAACCATATGCATGTCAGAAAAATTAACTCAATATGATGTGTAACACATGCAGAGGAGGGTAAAGTACTTGTGCTCTGTATCAACAGAATTGTGAAGTAAGGCACATAATGTACAGTATAACTTACTGTTATCGATCTTACATTTTCATATGCATTCTCCTATAAAGGTTTACAAGTGTAAAATAAATTTAAACAATAAAAATATGGTAGACATACACAGTGGGATATAAATCACATCATAATAAACCCAGGTGGTATGACAAAAAAAGTAAAGTCTGTTGTGTACATGCATCTCAAAATAAAAACCTTTGGCACGGGAATCTTTAGTAATGCATTTCCTTATTTAAATATAGCTGGGAAGATAAAATAGTCTTCAACTGGTGCCGAATAGACAGAAATCGTTAAGCCATATTGCAAAGAACATTTCAGTATTGGGATGTATCTGAAAACGCTTTTGCTGGTTAGCACCAATGTTTTTCTCATGCACATGTGGTTATAGTGCTGAACTAGGGCTCAGGAGACCCACATTCAAATCCCTATTCTGTCCCAGAGCAAACTTGGCTCAGATTTTTTTTTTTTTAATTTCAGCATAATTTACCTCACAGACCTGTGATGGTAACATGACAAGGAGACTGAGCTCCTTAGAAGGATGGGATGATAATGCAGTAAATGAAACAGAAGAGGGCTGGTTCTGGAGAAAGGCCTCAGAAAATGTCCTTTGCATTTAGATTGATTCATACCAGAGTAGGTAGTCCTTTTTATCCTGTGGACATAGTGTGCTTCCCAGTGCTTCAGCAAGAATAACAGAAAGCACTGTTCTTTCTAATGCCAACTATAACAAATATAGCGCTAAAACTAGCTTCTGAGCAAGAATCGACAACAGTCCAGGCATTGATTTAGATCAGATTAAATCATACTTTATTGCAATTAAGAACATAAGAGAAGGAGCTGTGCTCAGGTTGATCTTGAAATGAATGAAATCAAAAGCCATATCCATCTTCGAGCAGAATGAAATCAGAGTGGCATCCAAATGAAGAGTTGTAGTAGTGAGTGACTTCAGTTTCCCTCTGACTGACTAACTGATACAGGTTCCAGTGACGACATAGGTTACATTTCTCCATACTTTAAATGACTGTCCAAAACCCAATGAGAGGGAAGACAAATCCCCTCTTTAATCCCAAATGGTGTCATCCATGATTATCATAACTTTTATCATGTAAAAGTTAAGATAATCATAATCATGGTGCTATAAAATTCAGTGTCTATTTAAAAGCCAGTATGGTGTAGTGGCTAGAGGGCTGGACTGGAATTCAGGAGATCT